TTCGTTCAAATGCACACACGTCTGTGTAATCTCGATTGTTTACCAAAACTTGTGTTGCTGTGTATATAGCCTAGCATACGGCAACTTTTGAGGCTGGATTGTACTTTACCGGACCACCCGTCTCGGCCCGTGATTACTACGCACGCCTAGCCTAACTACGCACTCATAGTACTCTGCGTGCGGACAAAAGGTAGTTCCGCGGGCGACTTCGCGCACGCACAGCGAAGTCAGCGGCGACTGGCGAGGCGAGGTGAGCGAGAGGTGGTGGTGGTTGAGCGTGGGCAGGGGATTTAACTTTGGTGGACCACTGTGTATCATACCAACAGTGGGATGGGGGGGTTCAGGGGGGCTTGCCCCCCCTGGAAACTATAATAAAGAAAACACACAAAAATGTGAAACAATAACATGAGCGGACAGTCGTGTTTACATATCAATGGGGGGGTTTCAGGGGGGCTAGCCCCCCCTGATAACAATAATTTAAAGACACTCACACACACACATATAAACAATAGCATGATAAGTCGCGAGCAGGGCCAATGGGGTTGCAATTATGCAAATGAGCTCTCGTGCGCATCTCTAGCCCTCCATTGTACTTTGCCGGACCAGGAGTAGGCCTAGGGCCTAGGCCAAGCCAGCAGAGTCGCGAGCAAATAAGAATAGTGGACCACGTGATTAGATTGACCAATTAGCCTCAAGGTGTCAGGGTCATGGGTCAAAGGGCACAGTGGCACGGTCGTGATGACTGAAAAACCCGGTAAGAGACGGCAGTCGATTGCTGGCAGTTGAAGAGTGAGGACGTAGAAAACTGAGTAGGAGAGTGAGTAGGGGAGCTCGGAAACGAAGAACAGCGGACCACTAGGCACCAGGGGCGCCACAGCGAAAGTAGTTCCGACCGGTGGTCCGGTAAAGTACAATCTTACCACTTTTGATTCCATAGACTAGCGCACAATTCATTATGTAGATCTACGTCAAGACTAGCTTATCGTAGTAATAATGATCAGTTGCCGAGGGGAAAAAAGACTGTGACGTGTTTGTATCTACGACGTTCCACGCCCGGACCGCTAGTACCCCCCCAATCCAACCCCGACACACGCCAGAATAAACATGTGCGCGTGCCAACAATGCATGTGTTGGTTTGAAAAAAGGCCGCTGACTGGTCGCATGCAATCGACAAGTGAATAATGGTTCACGATGCAGGTGCAATTATGGATCGTTTCCTGGAATAGATAAAGTTCGTTTAGGGAGAAAAATGAGCAAAGCCACGTCCGGGCGGGCTTTTCTGAGTTCATCCTGGAAGCGACCTCGTTGAATCCGAGCTCGCTGATTTAAGTGTTCGTTGAATCCGAGTTATTTTTATTGATTTTAAAGATGAAAAAAAACGGGGAATCCATCTCATCTCGTTGAATCCGAGTTCTCGTTGAATCCGAACCCGTTAAATCCGAGTTCCACTGTAGTAGCCATCGTTTCTACGTGATAATATTGTAGTTCTGCCTGAATTGTGGAAGCTTTCTCAGTTTTTTGATGAACCTCCTAGGATTTGACTCCTTTTTTTATGACGTTGTCTTATTCCGATCAACATGGGTGGATCTAGATCTAGGAAAATCTAGATCTAGATTAGATCTAACAATTGTTTCTAACATTGTTTGCACAATAGTAGACCTGTTGTTCATCTCTCATTTAATCATAATCATTTGAGTTAGACAGAGTTTGAGCAAGTTTAGATTCTAAGTCGAAAGACGCTTGGATAACAATAACTAGACGGTGCAACTCGAACTTTAAGTTAGGCCTAGATCTAGAGAACGTGTACAAGCTGTCTACTGTCTACATTCTCTAAGTCTAATGTTCAGTGCTTCCAAGCGTAGCATCGAATCCCGGTCCCGGAAGGGGTTTTTTTTTCCTTCTCCTGAGCCTACAATTTAAAAAAAAAAAAATTAGACTCACAGACCAAGGAAAGCCACTACTGAACTTTAACCAGGCCTAAATTGGTAAAAGGAAAAGTATAGGCTATACTAAGGCCTACTTTGTACAGAGCTCCTCTTGGGGACAAAACCAGAATGTCATGCATGCTTCATCACTACATTCAGGGGTGAAGCGTCTATATATAATCAAATAATCACTGCTTCCCTTCCTAATTTTGAAACATTGTCGCTGTCAAATTCATCCTTAAACGCAAACCTCTTAAATTAAATGTAAAAAGACGTTCGTAATCAACAATGAACAGTATATGTCTAACATTCAAAACGGTTTCACGGCCTCAGAAATAGCCTCCTCACCCCTCTCGGGCCACTCCATAAGCAGTCGCAAGCTTTGATTAAGTAAGCTTAACTCTTTCGCTACGCCGAGCCGTGGGGGGGCGGCGCGGCTCAAGTGCCGTCAGTACGTTAAGCCGCCCCCGGCAGCTCAAGAACCGACGTTCAATTTTAGCTTGGTTTCTATTCCAATCCACTTATCCATGTTAAAATAAAGGTCATAATATAATGTTGACTTCCGGGTCAAGCGTTTCCACCGAAAATCGGAAGTTTTGATTCAGTTTTGAAACATGATTTCGTAGTTTATTCGACTTTGTTTTATCGCAAAGCCCAAATTATAGCCCAGACACCAATCTTAGTACTTTTACACAACAAAATGTATAATTATTTTGCTCACTAAAGAAGTGTAGGACTCTTCTTTATAATATTGATACTATTGGACGCAAATTGCCGGTGCACTGTAATTGAGAAATCAATATTTTTGAGTGCTAGATCTAGATTCTAGGCCTAGATCTAAATAGTCAAAATATTTTTTTCTCCCCAAAATCATTACTTTTGGGTGAAATTAATCAAAAAGTACCACTCAAGACATGTATAGGTTTATTCCAAGTGCAATTCTAAATAATTCCATATAAGTTACGCATATTTTTTTCTGTTTGTGATCCTTTTTTCAAAATTATTTAAAAAATTATTATTTTTCAATATCGGATGTTATGATCCAAATGTACAAATATTATAGAATGTATGTAAATAACTGCACATTTTTCAATATTTTCCTGTATAGTTATGGTTATTTTCAGGTATCATTTGACTAGGTGCAAACATGTTTTTTTAGTTTCACCTGAGATTATAAATTTTTTATTTTCCAATTTTATCCGCATCCAATCACAATTGTGTTGCATAATCGCCACTTACAGGAACCAAAGTTGAAAAATATGCAAATAAATAATGCAGGTGTATTCTACAAACCATACTGAAAATGTTGGTATATATGTTGATATTTATTTGAATTTATGGCCCCAAAGACATGTGAACTGCGCACTAGTCATCATCTCATTTCGCCCTCCCGAAAAGAATTCGTCCACAAGCCGAAAATGATACGTAGCGAATGAGTTAAAGTGAGTTTGGAAGAGTCTACCAATAGATTTGAAGGGAACATGTACATAGCAGTCCAAGCTGTTTCATTGCCACATATACCCTGTTCACCCCCTTGGGGCCACAGTTAAAATCAATCTCAAGCCCTGATTATGTATGCTAACTAACGCTGGTCGAGTCTACCTCACAAATGTGAGGGGAACTAACTCCTAATAATCTCTTGACTGCTGCGTGTGCTGGTTTTTTTTCTTCGACTTTTTACCGTCCTATAATCAGATCGTGACCTCGATTATGACACCAGCTCCTGGCCGCGAAAGGCTAACAAAAACAGCCAAATGTGAAATTTTAAAAATGATAATTGTCATGTTCTACCAAAGAGTTAGACTTACTGGTAGATCTATAACATATAGATCTAGTACTGACATCTCTGTTTCTTTGCTTTGTGTTTATGTATTCACATCTAAAGTTAAATTTAATTTTAGTTGGAACTGATATTTAATAAGATACTTTCCCGATTATTTTGACGGTTGAACATACAATATGAATTCCGGATTTGTTTTCATTCACAACTCAGAGTCGCCGCCTCGAGTAAGATTCTTGTGTGATTTCTACAGGCCATATCTGATACCGTTTCACTTTGTTTACCCTGTCAAACAAGTCAGCCTTCACCCCTGACTACATTTTAAAAAAACTACAAAGCAACAAGATATAGATCTAGATCTACTCTCTGTGGAAAGTTGGGTGTGTGAAAACGCTGTCCATCACTCTCTTTGTTCGGCGTGAGGGGCAGTCTCACCAAATATCATGCTGTCTAGGCTTGTCTAATGTAAGCTGTACAGATTTCCCTTTGTTCCGCTTAACCTGTCGGCGTGTTTCGCGGATCGGAGCGTTCTTTTCGTTTGTACGTCTAAATTATGTCGTAAAAAACACGTCTGATGACGAAAGCATGCGTTTGAGTGGAGCGTGTTTTTGTGTGGCGTGCGTTTAGGCGGAAACTACTGTAATTATTTTGAAAAATTTTTCGCTGAAGTTTAATCCTGTGTGGCGGCAAAGTAATTCTACATCACAGCGCGTCTCCCCCAAATCTGACTGTGATCGCTTAAAAAATATCAAGCAGTGCTTGATTTCTCACCCGAATCTCCAAACCATGTACAATTTTGTGGTTACACCTAATGATTTGTCGTATGATCGATAGATTGTGCAGTTTTTTAACATGATTTATGGTTACATGTAACCAGGCCTTGAGACAACACTTTTTTCTTTGACAATGAGTGGCCATTTTAGACAGTTTAAACTGTGATTATGAATTCAATCTGTGTTACATTTTCCTTGTCAGATTGGTCTGTCAGGGCTGACTTATACTCTTTGTTTATTTTAATTTTACATCTGATCTCTTTTCATGAAGACTGGAAAACTGCACACTGATAGCTGTCACTCAAGGTGCTTTCACTCAGCAGTGCCCATTATGTTGTTGATCGTTGGTCCCTCTGGTGTTGGAAAGACCTTGCTTTTGAAGAGGTTGCAAGCAAACACTAACAGTATCCTTTTGTAGACATGCTGGCAAATCTGGGAGGACATTGCAGTCGTAAACCTGACAAAAATATTTTTCCTTTATCGCTGATTAACACAGTGTGATGTAAAATGTTCATTGTCTCTCTCGTTTTGGGGTGTTTTTTGTGTTGTTATTTTAATGCAATGTGTATGATTTGATTTTTGTTTTTTCTTTGTTTTGTCGTTGATTCGCTCAATGAGGTCAATCTTTCTATTAAGGACCTGGCTTTGGCTTTGATATTAATTTTATTATCTTGGAATTTTTACTTAAACAGGAAACGTTATAAATAAACTGATAGCTTCTCTTATTTTTTCAAAAACATGGATATAATCTGATTTCAGTACCGTTCTAGATTACTAATGTTTACTCCAGTTGTTTTCTGTAGTATTTTTATTATGGACGGAAAATAAGTTTGTCTCTGCCTAAGAACACTCAGTATAAGAATCTGGTCTGCATTAAGTAAGTTTGAGCCCACTTTTACCATGCAACAGAATTTTTTCTATGCAATTCGCATGCCTAAAGACCAGTTCTAAATATAGAAATCCTCCAAAGTACCCGGTGTGAAGTAAGGGCAATTATCTTTACTTATCTGCTTTACCATAAATTGCGTGTGTAAAGGGGTCCTCTTCAGGGCTAAACCAATATATATCAACCATACTGTCGTGAAGTTCTATAAAACTAATTTCAAATGGCATCGCGACCTTCAAGCCGATCAGCCTTTCAGTAGATGCAGCCAGAGGAACTGATTTAATATTGGGGCGTCAAATTTAATGAAGAAGATGGGTGGGTGGAGGGATTGAGTTGAAAGCAGAAGGAGGGGGAGGGGAGAGATAGAGGATATAATTATGAATGAGAAGATGATTTCTGAACCCTACAAGCACACTTGCACAGAACATTGTTATCAAAGATGTGTGTTATCTTTGTTCAGCTGTTCAGTTTTAAAGCGGTTTTCAATTGTATCAATCCTTCGTTCCTCTTATGCTGTCAAAATATCCAATTGTCTTATAAAAGCTGGCCCATTCATGATTGTCTATTACCTTCATTTATGCAGCGTTAGCACTGGTTGGTACTGTTTCGGTTTCTATATACTTTATATTCATAAAAATTAACTCTAATAAGATAAGATAAGATACTTCTTTATTGTCCAGAGCCTGGCACATCCAGTTCTCACTTGCACCAAAAACCATGTGCACCACTCAGACATGCATATTCACATTCATTTTTGTTTTTATAACAAACCACTTTTCATCTTACATGGTCATCTGTACTGCATGCAAGTCTTTATTTCATCCTACCCCCCTGGGCAGTGCCACTGACTGAAGTGTCTTTAGGCCGCTCACAAAGGGGGCACATTTCTCGTTCTTATGCACCGTAGAATTGTAAATGGGCTGATTCAACAATGTCATGCTCATAACTGTGTCTGAACTACAACAGGGAACTGCTGCTTTTTCTTTCTTAATCCTTACTATCGTCATTTTCCTCTACTTCTTTTGTATGTTTGTCACACTCTTGTGACCCGCTATTTCTGGGGTGACTTGAAAGTCGAAACAGACTTTGTGCTGTTGAAGCTGGAGAGGTGAGCAGAGTAAGCTCGATTCCCTGTAAAGACTTCTCTGTTGTCATCCACCACTTGGTGCTCATATGACCTTATGCAGTTGCGAGCGCCGTAAAACCTCTACTAAATAAATAAATACTTTATTCCATCATAGAACAAACATGGAAAGCCAGCCGGAAAGAATTGAGTAGTGCCCTTTGACATCCACCTGAGAACTCAGTTTGTTGTCCAAAGACACTGCTTTTTTTGTTTCCCTATGAAAGGGTTCTTATGCGGAGATCACTGTGCTAGTTATGAATCCTTATTTGATAACCAGATGCAACAATCTCAAAAGAAGATGTGCCTGCAACGATTGCTACTGTAAGTAATAATACTGTTTTCTTGGGAAAGGATGCGGATTCACTGTGTAACAAATTGTATAAACGTTCCTGTCGATTTTCATACAAAATTTTTCTCTATGGGGTGTGCAGCCATAAGCTGACAAAATGCCTTTTTTAAAATTTACAGCAGTTTAGAGAATTTCGAGAAAAAGATGTTTTTTGTCAACGTAAAAAAATAGAGTGCTTCTGAAATTTGATTTCTAGTTTATACAAAAAACTAGTCACAGTTTTTTTTTCAATTTTTTTTACACAAGTAGGGTAACTGATCAGGCTTTAGATAGAGCAAATAAAAATTGTTGGCGCCAAAATAAAAAAGGCGTTTTGTCAGCTTATGGCAGTCTAGTCAATGTGTTCAAAGAATATAACCCAAGAAGTATGCAAGAACATCAGAGCTTTGACACTCTGTCAAATATTGTATCCTTCCAATCCTTATTAAGTGTCGAACGGCTTCAGTTAATTTTGACTTTACTTCTGGGAGTATTTAACTTGTTAACAAATAATATGAAATTTTCTTGATGTTTGTACGGCTTCTAATATTCTTATACCAGTACTTATCTTTTCATTTTTATTTACTTGCTTTACAACCATTTTTGTTAGCAACATATTAGAAAAAAATTTGATGCCATTTCATGTGGGTTGAATGTCTTTCTGAACCCCATTTGTTTTAGATTTTTGTGTTAGTGATAATTTTGTTTGATTTGAGATTGTATCGTGACAGTTACATTATATTGCCCTAGGTTGGAACGAATCTTATGACTGTCATGACATTGAAGAAGACTGAAGTGACAGTGAGAGAAATGGGTGGAGCAATGGCACCGATCTGGCACAAATACTACAAGGACTCACATGCTATTATGGTAATCAAACATAGCTTTCTCTTACCTAATTATTTATTTGTCATCAATGCCTTGCTTGTAGAAAAATATGCTCATTGACACAATTTATAAAAGCTGCTTTCGCATACGGAAACTTTTGTGCTGAATACTATGAAAACCTGAACTTTCGTACTCAGAGTTTTTCTTCTTGTAAGTAAATACAGTATAGTCTGCTTATATCGACATGTGTCAGGAAGTGGATTTGATGTCGATATATAAGAATGTCGATAAATGAAAATATGAAGCTAAAGAGGAAAAAACAAGGAGAGGTCAGTGGTAAAAGACAACATTACCTTTTTAAGCTGTTTGCTTCCCTTGTTTCTTGAAACTGACAAGAGGCAGAGGGGAAAGGGGGGGGGGGGGAGTTGAGTTGCGGTATCAAAGACCGAGCAGCATGAGACGCACACTAGCGCAAACTTTATATTGTATCATCCTTGTACGGCCTGTTCATGACCGCTTGCTGGGGAAAATGGAAAGGTGAGGCGTGGACTCGCTGACCGTAGCACTTGCCAGCGACAGACTGAGAATGGGATGGGAAAGGGAAGTGAGTGATCGGGAGTGGGTGTAGGGAGGTGATGCCCAGTGTACGAGACGCTCATGTCTGTGAGGCAGTATAAAATATATACTGTATAAATATGAAATAGAGAAGTTTTTAAAGTATGGAATGACTTTTTGGTGGTGCAGGCTGTTGTTCAGGATTGAAAGCATGTGGACTTACTACTGGAAGCTGCAGTTTGACTCTTGTTCTTCTTTTCACAACTGCATTTCCTTGCAAGTGCTCAAACGAAGTGGACATAACTGGACAAAGTCCATCATATCCACTCATCTGATTTTGAAAAAAATTAAGGTTTCTATTCTTCACATATTTCGCAAATAAATTTGAGCAAGTTTCTTTTATAGGAGTATTGAAGATGATGTGAACTGTAATGGATGATTAATGAGATCCATTTCAGATTCAAATCCTTTATATTGGTTTCATTTCCATACATTTTTAACAAAACACTTCTAATTCACATTGATTTGTTGGGGGCTTTTTTAAATGAATGAGACAAATTCATATGAATAGAAGTAATTAATAATACATGGTACCCGCAAAAGTTTCCTAATATACATTTATAACAAAATCGACAGAATTGGTGAATTTGTAAAATGTCAGAAGCCGAAAATAGAGCAATTTAATTCCTTTTCCTTCTGTATTTTTAGATACAAATAGCTACTTCATTTTTTTTTTTCAGCATCAAATCATTGTTCTTTTCTTTGTTTTGAATTAAACAAAGTGAGCAACTTCAAAACTGAAAAACATTGAAGCATAATAATATGATTTAGAATAATCAGAGACAACTTAAAGCCAACAAAATTTTGTCCACCATAAGCAAAGTCGCTTGATCAGTGTGCATAGATATTATGTCGTAATTAGTATAAAAAAAACCCACTGACCTCTTTTGTTGCATTCTGTATAAAGCTTCACAAAATGTAGTTTTTCTTTAAATGAATATTAAATCACTTGTTATGTAAAGGGAGTCAATTCTGGCACTTCTCATCTTGTCTGTTTCATTGGTACCAGTTGTCACCAAATTTCAGAAATATCTTTTACTGTGTTTTGTTGTGACACTGTTTACATCTCAACCCCCAGCAAAAGTTATTATAACAGGTGTTGATATTTAAATTGACCAAAGAACATTTTTAAAGTATGTGAAAAAAAATGGCTAAACTAAACAAGATTTACTTTTTTTCTCAGATTTGTGCTTTCCTTGGGTTTTGAGCCGAAGTAGGCAAAACTTAATTCGATATTATGGCCTTTTTATAATATATGAGTCGATGATGCCTATTTTGCCATGTCTTCATATTGTGCTGTTTATGATATTATTACTAATTTATTATATGAGTAATGTGTGATGCAGTAGTGGTTGAACTGGTTGATGATGATGGTTATAATATGATTGCTCTATTATTTTTTATTGTTGATTTCATTGCAACTTATTTAGGCGTGCACAACATGATTGTGATGTTGACCGTTTTCAGTTCATGATTGACCTGTCCAAGCATGTGCAAGTGTCTATTGCTGCTGTCCAGCTTATGACTCTACTGTCGCACCCTAGTACACAGGACGTGCCATTTCTCATTATTCTCAATAAAAGGTTAGTTGAATCTTTATGAAATACTGAAGACCTGCTTCATACCACGATTTTATCATAATTGTCATGATTTATTGTCTCAATCAATGTTATCACAATATTTTTATCCTCTAATATGAGCTCGTTACTCTTAATCCTGGGTATATTTCCTGGCGGTATGAGGTCTTATCTATTTCCTGCAACAAACTAAAGAAAACTTAAACAAGCAAACAGAAACAAAGTGCAAAAGTGTGCCAAACTACAAAAAGTCAGTTCTTATTAGAGGATCCCGTTTGTTGTTTTTGATGAAGCCAACTTATCAGACTTTGTGCGGTTGAGGCTAGAGAGGTGAGCAGAGTAAGCCTGATTAATTCCCCATTTTGACTACTCTGTTGACATCCACCCGTTGCGCTCTAGGACCTTATGCAGTTGCGAACACCGTAAAACTAGACTAGAAGCCTGCTAAGCGTCTTTTCATTATGGAAAAAAAAGCTTGCCACAATCAAAGTAGTGCAAGGAGTCTAAAAAAAGAGGACCAAATTAAATGACAATATTCAGGTCGTCTTTTCACTAATTTCAACAACGCTTTGAACAAATGAAATTCAATAAAGGGGACGTAACATTTCAATTTGAAGAAAATCAATCTTCATGTTCTAGAAATATCAATTTAAAAGCTATTTACCAAAACTGAGTAAAATGCAGAACTACTTTTTAATAATGTTCTGTTACAAGGGCTTGATCAGCCCTTCATGGTTTCAGGACAAGGACAATTATACTACGACTGTCACATCAGAATGGATATCTCATCAGACACAGAAAGTTGTGGTTGTGTTCATGGAAATCTAGATTCATTCCAGTTTGCATACAAAGAGAGGATGCTGTACTTTGTTTTTTTGTGACTCTATACTGAAACACATTGAAACATCTAAAACGTATGTACTTTTTTGTTGATTTTTCCTCAGCATTTAATACAGCTCAACTGCATATTGTCATTGAAAAACTTCTGAGTCTGAGAGTTAATCATTAGTGAGGTATCGTGGTGAAATCAGGCTTTCGTCAAAATAACAAAATTGGGGAAACAGGCATTTTCCCCACCAATTTCGCTGCAGTAGTCTCCGCCTAAACGCATGGTGTTACATGGAGCGTGCTTTTACATAAACCTTTGCAAGGGGAGGAAGGGACGCAGTCATCTCAATTCCTTATTACTCTAGTGATCTCCCTTGGAGGAGGGGGTCATTTTGACAGATAATGTGACGACACGCGACTGTTTTGTGAAGGATTCCCCGACAGGGGTTAAAAATACAAAGGAGAAAGGCGTTGAATGGGGGGGGGGGGACAGACTCAATGTAATGAATATGCACTACAAACATCAGGAACAGATAGCCTAAGAGGAAACTGTTGGTTATAGTCATAGAGACGACGGACCAGCCACGTGGCTTTCCAAGAGACCATCCCCGACCGTAAATTTCATGCAGAATCATCCTCAAGAAACATTTTCTCTTGTGATTCATTGAACAGGTATGTTAAGTTCTTCGAGCGCAGCTTATTAGGCTTACTTGGCTAATCTTAAATCCTATAGAGGCCTGTCTAGTGTTTTGCGGCATTTACCCATGTTGCGCATCAGGCCTAGATCTAACTAAACTAGATCAGTCACTCAAACTCAAACACCAGTCAGAAACCTTCTCTCAAAGATACATTTCCAGTGACCAATCAAAAATCATTTCAGTCTACCCAAACCCATCTTCCCCCCCCCCCCCCCCCCCCCAACATTTAACCGACTAGCCCTAGACCGAGACCTATGCGTCAGTGGAAAGTAGGGTGTGTAAACTCTGCCCTTCACTCTCTTTGTACGGCGTGAGGGGCACTCTCACCAAATATCCAGTTTTCTAGGCTTGTCTTATGCAGGCTGTGCAGATTGTCGTGAAAATTTCCTCTTGACAAGCTTGTCGGCGTGTTTCGCAGATCGGAGCGTGCGTTTAGAGGGAGTGACCGTGCGTTTATACATCTAAATTATAAAGTTAAAAAACCTGTCAGATGACGAAAGCGTGCTTTTAGCGGAGCGTGCTTTTGTGTGGCGTGCGTTATGGTGGAGACTACTGTATTTTAATCAAATTTTTGAAAAACGTTGATTAAAAGCTCAAAATATGTAATTCTTCAGATCTCAAGGACTCTTTTGCTATTGAAGTTACCAAACTTTGGCCTCCATTTTCTCGCTTTTTTTACACCTGAAACCAAGTGAACTCACCTCTTTCAATCACAAATATCTTTACTTCTGCTGCAGAAAGATGAGTATTTTTTTCATCAAAAGCAAGATAAATGAATTGGGTCATGTAATTTTTGACAGGCAGACCACAATATGTTAAGCTCCACAACGCAAAATCTGACACAATCCTTTGTAACACCAACGGTCCTCAAGGGTGTGTTTTGTCACCAGTTTTGTATACAATATCAATGATCATAGAAGTAAATATAAAACAACATGCTTAATTAAGTTCGCAGATGACTCCACTATTATTGGATTTATTTAATAAGCCTTGATGAAAAAGAGTATTTTAAAGAAATGTGCATGTTTTTTAAATTGTGCTTTTCAAATTTTCTGAAAGTGAACCTCTCAAAAACAAAGAAAATGATTTTTTATTTTAGAACAGCTAGAGGAAAACCAACAATCCCGCCTTTCATAATTGAACAAAAAACAATTGGATTCATGGATTCGTACAAATATCTTGGTCTTACATTCGACAACAAATTTACATGGCAAAATCATGTAAACTATATAGTTAAAAAGGTAAATCAGAGGCTGTACTTCCTGAGGAAACTTAAGTCCTTCAATCTGAATCCTTCCGTCCTTCGAATATTCTACACTACCACAATAGAAACTTTGATAATAAATTTTGGTATCTCTTGTTATGGTAGCAATTTGGGAAAACAGCACATCATGAAAATAAGCAAGTTGATCAGTAAGGCATCAAGAACAATTGGTAGAGACCTAAGTGACTTTGAATATCTGCACAAGACAAACATTCTAAAAAAGGCAGAAATAATGCTAAGTGACCATAGCCACCCACTGACATCGGAATTTCAATTATCGACCCCCTAAACGATATTTCCAAAAAAAGCAAGAATATAAAGTATAATAAAGATATAGAAATTTGTTTGTACCAACTGCAGTGAGGCTACTCAACGTAGTGCTAGAAATGAAACAGAGAGAGAGAGAGAGAGAGAGAATGTTTTACGGAGTGGGCTGTTTCAGCACGTGAGACATGTATTACTAATGTCCTGTCTTGTTGTGCGTATGCATGAGTGCACCTTTACCTTTATAAGATCCACTGCCATTGTAAACGACCAAGAAAAATTTCTCCCTGTGAGGTGTGTAAAGATTGCCTTTTTAATTTTCAAGAAGAAGGGGTTCCAGCAGGGTGGGATCGCACTCAATGCATCATGAGTGGCCCTTGCATGGTTGCAAGAAGAGTTTTGAGAATGCGTTTTTAGCCCATAGCTAACAAATTAATGGTCACTGCATCCCCCCTGGATTATTTCCTTTGGGGATTTTCGACACATTCTATGGAAACAACCAATAAACAATCTAACAGTTGAAACTTTATGTTGAACAGGAGGTCTAAAGAAACAACCCAGAAACATTGTACATGGTTAATAAAAATTTCCAGTGAATTCAAACTGGTTGCGAGTGAAATGGTCAACACCTGTAGCATAATTATAATTTCAAAGTGTATACAGACCCGGTAACCGGGAACAAAGTCACGAAGTATACAGACCCGGTAGGGGAACTCTTTTGTGAGGTCGGAAAGTTTCAGCGCCCAGACCCGGTAGTGTGTGTGTGTGTGTGTGTGTGTGTGTGTGTGTGTGTGTGTGTGTGTGTGTGTGTGTGAGGAGAGAGAGAGAGAGAGAGCAGGGGAAAGTGCTAGCAAAATATGACATGCCCCAGCTAACATGAGGGAACGAGAAAAAGATAGGTGGGGAGAAAGAAAGACAGAGACAAACAAAGAAAAAGAGAATGCGAGCGATACAGAGAGAGAGAGAATGCGAGCGATACAGAGAGAAAGAGAGAGAGAGAGAGAGAGTAGAGAGAGAGACTGCTTGATTGAAATTATGACATTGTTCTTTTCTTCAAATTGTGATTCCTCCAAGTCCAAAAACGGAGGAAAAACGATCGTTCATCGAAAAGACATCCGTAATCTTCATTTAGATCTAGAGATCTAGAATCTAGATATAGAGATCTAGATCTAGATCTAGGCTAACATCGAAACTAGATCAATGATTTATGTCTGTCTATCTAGACCTAGGCCATAGATCTAGATCTAGAAGAACCTAGGTCTAGGTCTACCCTGAGCCAAGAGGGCGCTGAAACTTTCCGAATTCACAAAAGAGTTCCCCTACCGGGTCTGTATACTTCGTGACTTTGTTCCCGGTTACCGGGTCTGTATACACTCCCTTATAATTTTGATATCGTCCGCCTTCCGTGTGGTGGTTTGGCAATGTCAGTTTTATATAAATTTGATCTTCAATGCACAAATACACATTATGGTTGGATTTTGATAAGTTGCTAAGTTTTGTTTCCCTCAATTTTGTTTGAAATTTTTTTCAATTGATATTTCTCAAAAACATTTTCATCATGTTGTCTGGATTTTAAAAAGTTTTAGTATGGTTTTACAGCACTCGCAACCGCATAAGGCAATATGAGTGCCAAGGAGTGGATGTCAATAGAGAAGTCCAAACCGGGAATCAGGCTTACTCTGCTCAACTGTCTAGCCTCAATAGCACAAAGTTTGCGTCGACTATCAAGGCACCCTGGAAATAGCAGTTCACAAGAGAGTGACAAATATACAAAAGAATTGTCTAGTTTAATGTTCCCCTTGGTTGAATTGTTTTTGTAAAAAAAATAATTTTGAAATTGATACAAAAATGATGTAACACTCATTATAAATCTATTATATTTATTATGAATATATATTGCTTCATTTTTCATAAAAATCAATTTTTTTTAAAGAACTACTTTAATATTTTCCTTACTGTCCTCAGAGATTTGTCCAACAGCATGAGTAGTGTGGAGGTGGAGTGTCTATTTCGTCTGGAAGAGCTGATCCACCACGCTTCACAGAAGATTCAAGTTGTGGAGACTAGTGCGAAGACTGGCTATCAACTGGAGGAAGTTGCCAAGTGGCTGCATGAATATCATCGGAATGAGGAGACTGGAACGTCCTGACAAACAGGTCAATATGGTGCTCTGTTTCTCCAAATCTCTGATGGTTGTCTCTATGAGAACTCACGAGCAGCTACACCTATTCAGAGAAGAAATACCTTCTCAGAGAGTCAAATTGAACATGGGTGGAGTCGTGTAAAATCTATTGTGGCAATCACTGCAGGCCTAGGTGTTCATGACTGTTTAAAACGTATTAGCGTGACGAAGTAACCAATGTTTTGTCATTGTTGCTGTTAATTCTGTGGCTCTGAGGCTCATGCCCATCGATCCAGTGTCATGTTGTACAAGTTGAAAGTCCCTATTGGTTAGTTCCTTCTTCCATGTGGGGTAATGTTTAAGTCGGTGTTGGGAGAAAGAGGATAATGCTGAAATTCCTCTAGCCTATGGTGTTGGAGGAGCAGGTATTAAAACCAACAGATACAGAATCTGTGAAAAATCAAAATCTTTGAGGTACTTATGTTTTAACTGCCTTGTATTTTGCGCCCTGTTAATCACTGTTGTTGCTTTTTGAGCGAAGTCTATAATACTCTATTCAAAATGAGAAAAAGTATCTTGTGATTGTACTGACTGTTTCGTTTCAATTACCCTCTCTCCCCAGCGATGACTGCACCATGTTTCAATGACCTTGTCTCTATCAACCATTGACTGTGCTTACTGTATTGTTTCACTGACTGTGTCACTTCCCGGCATGGATTTTACTGATTGTTCCTTTCTCACCACCAGATATCAAAATGTAATCGAATCAGTGTTGGTATCGGTATTGTTGCTTAGGTTTTTTTCTAACAGTTATGTTTGATTCATTAGCCTCAGTAAGCTCGTGGTACACTTCAGGGGCAGCTCGTGGGTCTAAAAAGTCGACATGCACAATTAAGTTATCGCAGGTTGAAGGCAGTCAAGGGCATGGTAAATGGGATGTATTCTTCATCCTACCTGTATGGCGAAAATCCACTTGAAGAAGAAAACTATGTTTCGTTCTTTTGCTGCAGCAAAGGTGTCCATTATTCTGTTTAAATTGGGGATTCTGTCCATGATATCCTTGTAGATTGACATAACCATTAGAGTATTGTCCCATTGAAGAACGGGAGCATATCTGTATATGTTGCTTCCTTTTTATTAGACGTCTAAAAGTTACAGTAGCTCTAACAGGGATTGGTGACAACAACTGTGTAGTAGTTAACCACTCGAGTGCTTAGTTAAAATCACTGTGTGTATTCAGATTTAGAGATAAAAATGTTTTTTTTAATGGATTAGCACTATATTCAGAAATAATTTCATTACAGCAAAACTATTGGAGATAACCCCATAAAAGTCGGTATTATTTTGAAAGATCCTTGAATGAGGAACATTTTCATGCCATTTGTGTGGGGTTTTGACCAGAAATTATGGGATTTCAAGCTTACAAAAAAACCAATAACGTTGTTATTTCCCCGTGGATATTGAATCTGAAAAAAGTTTTATTTCAGTACTAAAGATGTTTAATATTGAGAAAAAATGTCTTTCTTACCTAGTCAAGGAGATTCCTAGCCTTGTGGTAGGGTAAAAAAACACTTAGGGCACAGCGTCACCTGACAATGTTCACATTGCCAGACTGGGTTTTTTTCTTTTGGGTGGATGTTCCTGCATCTTCTCCTCTTTCTTCCTCCAATCTTTGACAGCTTGCGATTGGAAAATTGGAAAGACCTGTTGCTTAAGAATGTTCAGGAGGTAAGAATTCCGTTTGAGATGGTGGCTCTGGTGTCACTCGAGCTCCTTCGATTTCGCTGCTTTTTACCCGGTTGCCAATTCCCCATAGGGATTGAACCAGCTCAATCCTGAAACCAGTCAACTCTCTTTGATCACATTTTACATGACTAAAAAACTGCATAAACAGAAAAAAATTGAACCTGTAGTTACCAAACTTCTGTTGCTGCCTTCAAATGCAGCTACTACATGGTTCTTCTTCTTCTTCTTCTTCTATCCCGTGGTTGGGGCAACCGTGGGGGCACCACTGCATCTGAAAACCAGCTCTCGCCATCTATTTTTGTCCTCTGCTTACCTCAGATTGTCACCCATTGTCTTTCCTGTCCACTCTGTAATGTTGTCCTCCTGTCTCCTTCTCTGCCTTCCTCTCTTTCTCTTTCCTATTACGGTTCGTTGCAGGATTGTTTTGGCAAGTCCTGTGGATCTTGTGACATGCCCATACCATTTTAATTTTCGTCTCTTCACTGTGGTCAGTAGATCTTTATATTGCCCCACTACGTTGATGATTCTCTTTCGTACCTCAGCATTTGAAACGTGGTCTTTGTGCGAAATGGCAAGGAGTCTGCGGTAACGTCTCATCTCTGTGGTCTGAATCTTTTTCTCTAATTCTGCTGTTAGTGTCCACGACTCGCAGGCGTATAAAAATATTGAGATGACCAGTGAGCGCATTAGTCTAATTTTTTAGTTGTGCGTGATGTTTCTGTCCCTCCAAATAGGCTTCA